ACACATATTTAAAATGACATATACTGAAGGCTTCCCACCAATACATTTGTTCTGATCAGCAGCCTAACTCTACTTCGGGCAGATTTGATCCCAGGTTTTGCAATTAAAAAGTTGAATTTAACCCAAATTGCAGGTTACAACATAAGTTGTTTTAGCTTTTCTGTTGACAGTAGGCCCCAGTCTGCAAAGGGAATTTAAGTCCTTTGCATTCGCAATATGGGACGTGCAACAGTGAGGTCACTCAGTACAGGGCTTAACCCTGGATGCAGCAATGGTGCTGCTGGAAAATAGTGTTGTATTATTGTTATAATTTTGGCGCTTGGGGAGGCAAGCACTGTCATTAAAATGGTCAATCCCCCTCAAAGTAAAAGCAACAAAAAAAATGTAAAAGGCGTCAAATCATTGTTATGAAATGTCAGGAGGATGATCAATGAGTAGCTATCTATTGAAAATAATTTATGATTTACGTGAGGAAAAAGGTTTTTTTGCATACACATTGATGTTATATCCAAATTACAAAATAAATTATTATTTGCCCCTGAACGAGTGAAGGATAAATGTGCTTAAAAGCAAAAGTGCATTAACCTGACAACTTCATGGATTATTAAGCAATAAGAGCATAAATCTCTTTCCTTCATCTTGCCTGCAACCTGCTGTTTTGCTCCTATGCTGACAAAACACTACACGTGATCTACCACAAACTACTACCAAGCACTGTTGGTTTATTCATATCAGTAAAATTATGTTGAACAAAAAAATGTAAGGTTGTTCTCACCCGTCAACAGTCCAAGTACAGTCGGTACCTGCTCCAGCAGCAGTTTACGCAGCTCATCTTTCCTTGCAACACTCAAATCTTCTCGAGGACATGCAAGTTCTTCTGATGTCGTTTTCAACATCACCAACCCCAACTGAGCCAGAGCTGGGGTCTGGATCAACTGGAGTTCACAACAGATCAAGAGACAGTGGAGATAGAGATCAGTGAATTTTTCTCACTATATACAACAGATCCTGCATTAACCTTCACAAGACAAATTAGGGTGGCTGTTTGTTTCATCTATTATTTTCATGGTCATATTTTACACTTACAGGGTAGAACTTTTAAGAACATAGTGTGGAAAAAGCTTGGAAACACAGGTGAATATTTCACAATTTTTCTTTATCACGACGAGTGATATTGATTCATATCCATTCATAATTGAAATAAAGTCAAGTCAGCAGGCATTTGGAGCAAACTGATGTCTAACAAACTGATGTAAGTGAGGCTCACCTGAAGGGTGTTTGTAAAGAAATCGTGGTAGAACATTGGCCAGTCCTGGCGACCGATGTCTACGATGACCTTGCAGAGTTTGTTCCGGATGAAGTAGGGCACAGATTTGTGCTGAGCAAGCAGGAGTTTGGGCAGACAGTTGCGAATCTCCATCTTGTCTTGTGAAGCAACACCAATCCACATCTTGTTCACCAGGTTCTGAACGTAAAAGGGGATGATCAGTGGTGAAAGCTGGAGAAGCTTATTTAGACACAACTCTTCTGGCTGAGGAAAATGTTTAATTGCTTATTCCTGTAATTCATTTATCAAGAAAATGCTACTGAAAAACACTTATACATTTAACTAACTCATTTTGTAGAACTGATGAAATGAGGAAACAGAAAAACAACATACAACTGTCATATGATCAGTAACTACTAAGCAATGCATTTCTCTGTGAAAAATGTTATCAAGTAAAAAAGGCCGAGCAGGGTACAATGAATCCACAATGAGCATCTTCCACCTACAGTACTTACTTCAAATACTGTGAGGCTGTACATCATTACATACTCATTGCGAGTATTGGAAAGGAAGAACAAACAGTGCCGCCACGCTGCCGTCTGCTGCGCAAAGTTATTCAGCAACTCTTCTGCAGTAAAGAGGAAGTAGGTATGATCACTGACAGAGGTATATGGCAATGAAGTACTTCACTTGCAGACAGACTGAAAGTAACGCATCACAAAACAGGAAGTGTCTTGAAAAAGTGACACAAAAAATAGAAACCAAATTATTTCTGGTCACAGTAAATGCTCCGCTGTGTGAAATGGTCCAACAGTTCATTTAGACTCTATTCAGACCCCTCACATGTTAAATCGGACTGATTTTGTCGCTCAATCAACTTTCACTCAGTAACCCAAGATCAAAAAGTGAAAACTGAGTTTATACATTTCTGTACATTTCTTAAAGGAAAAGAAAAACAGAAACATAACATTGACACAAGTATTAAAACCCTTTGCCTCAACACTTTGATCAGGTGCCTCTCATTTCCCTTCTTCATCTTTAAGATTATTCTACACCTCAATTGATTGGACATGATCTAGAAAGGCTCACACACCAGTCTATATAAAAGTTCCCACAGCTAACAATGCATATCATAGCAAAAACCAAGCCAGGAGGTGAGAGACACTACCGGCTGAAGTCACAGACAAGATTGTGTCGAGGCACAGATCTGGAAAGGGCTTAAAGGTTTTAATTTTTATGTTTCCCACTTCATTGATCTACCGACTACTTCTTGGGGTCAAACTTACCTATTTCTCTCTTTCGCTCATTGGTTGTGCAGCTGTGAAAGAACTCCGTCATGAGGCTCTCCAGTGCACGCAGCGATGCCTCCTCTGAAGCCTATAGAATAATAAGAGACAAAGTTAAGCATTAATAAGCACATATGAGACAGCTATTTGACAATATACATGATTCGAAGCAGTGGATGCTCTATTTTTCTAATATCTGTCCATTTGAAGGATGAAATTCAGTGGTGTGCATGTCTTGCAGTATACATGCACATCAGATGCTGAAGTGCAAACCAGTCACAAGTCTCTTTAAACACCTGATCATGTCCAAAAATCCCATTGTCACGGTGATGATAACACACTGCCATTCAAGTCTCTCATTTGAGCATTTATTAGACAAGGCCTTCTAGTCTGTTACAAAAGAATGAATGTGTGAATGTCTAGAGAACTTCAACATGCAGTCTTGCAGACTAATTTAAGCAGACATTAGTTGTATGTTACCATCGTACTCCAGCTTAGTGAGATGGAAACCTATCTTCAGGTGTCAACGCCTGCACACTGCTATAGATGGATATAGTTGGATCACTGCACGTGTATCAGGGGTGTGCATGTTTCGGCACAGTCTGGTGGAAATCCAAAGTTTATCCACACTGAGCATTGCACGGTGGGGTAGTGGTGATTAATAAAATAAAATAGCTGCAGGGAATACAAATCAACGGTGTATCTACGGGCTTTGACAGGTGGAGGGGGTTGGCCCTCGTCTGACAAAAAGAGGAGAGATAGGGAAATGAGGCTTCACGCTGCAGCTCCTGTGGCAGGCGGGTCTGAATTCCTGAAATACGCCACAACTTGCCGAGGCTCAACACGACTCGGGGCAAATTCTCGCTTTTGCAAGATGGGCGTCTAGTTCCGTGAAATGGCTTGAAGAGCTGTCACATCCCGTCGAGGAACCTGGAGCTCTCCCAGACCGTTATGTGACCTGTCACACACACACACACTAGCACGTCCCAGCAGCTACCTGCGTTAATAGAGTATTAATAAAACGTTGTGTGTTCCTGTCTAAAGCTGTTGCACCACGTTAGCCGTTAGCACATGAGACAGGAAGACACAACGAGCGACAGGGTGAAGGAGAAGAAGCGCTGACTCGTACTCACCATGTTCAGCTGGCTCAGATGCTTTCTTGGGTTTACTAAGTCTCGGCTTAATTACGCTAATGAGCCAACATTAGCTACCTGACAAGCCAGATCTGTAGCTAACGTTAGCTACGGTGTTGCTGGCTAACGTGGCTGCAGAGGGGGCTCATCGTGGGTCGATCTTCCACACACACACACTCACTCACGAACGCACGACTAGCTAGCAAATGTTAGCAATAACGAGTTATTTTGATCACAGCCCGCAATAAAAAGCGCTCGACCTAGTACACATCCGCCGAATCAGCTAACTCGAATCCGGTGGGTTCGGCTGCATTGTCGCGTAATTCCGTTGGGTTTTAACCTGGAAATCTTGTTCTGCGGCTCATCCGACACCGGAGGGAAACGTTAATTAGCTTCCGAAGTCAAGCGACTCGAGGCTAATCACACGCCGAAGCGTTGCAGCGGATGGCTAACGCGTTAGCTTCTCTACAAGGGATGAGGGCATCGTTTTCGTTAGCTCGCTGTCAAAGCGGAGACACGCGTCCAGGACCGTCGGTCGCCTCCAGCCTCGGTGCTTTTTACAGCGGGCGACGCCGCACACGGTCCCCGTGCATGGGACGGCTGAGCAACAACGTCAGATGTGTGCTCGCGAAGGCGCTGGCTCGTGTTATTGCTCCTCTCGGTGTTCAGGGCGGCTCAACGCCACAGCTAACAACCTCCTGTTACAGCTTCGGGCTTCGCGACTTCCTCTTTCGCTGCAGAAACCAACCAATCCCAGCAGCCCGGGTCAAACTGCTCACAACAATAAGAGCCCGACATCCGGTTATATTTTCAAATTACAGCGATTTAAAAATAGCAAATGAAGAAATACTAGGAAACGAGAGAAAGAGTGATTTTTATGGGCAAATGCCAAACGCTTGAATTATAATTTAATGCTACTAACCGCTTTTTATAATGTTTATCACTTTCTTTCTTTTCTGCTTTTATTTGATACATTTTTCTTTTAAATGTCATTTTAACATTTTCTTGTTGCTTAAGATCAGTTTTTTTTATATGAAATACATTTTGACATGTTTTTATCGTTATTGTGTGTAAATCCCTTTGAGCTGCATTTCTTGTATGAAAGGTGCTATACAAATAAAGTGTATTATTACTACTACTACCAATAATAATAATGATTGTATTATTATCAAGTTGCCATTTTGCATAACAATGATAATAATAAGATGTAACAATAAAGTTTATCACAACTTATTTAAATAATAATACTAGTGATTAAAACCCCAAGATCTGCAACCATTTACAAGCAACATATTCACTTCACACTGTCTTTTCTCATATAAAAAACATTCAGTTTAATGCTGGTAGTTGTGTAAAGAGCAAATTTCTTACAAGTTATTCTGTATCATGTAGTTAATGCTGCATTTTGATTAAATGGTTTATTATGAACTGTGTCTGTGGCCGTTTCCAACAATGACAATCAAGTCACTGTGAAGGAATATTGCCTGTTAGATTTAGGCCAATTTAGCAAATGATGAATGAGAATTTACAATCCACACACGGATTCGAGGAATTCATTTTAAAGCAGAGATTATCTGTTGCATTATTTTAGTTTTTGCCTACAGCTGCCATTATCATTGCTCGGTAAAAACTATATGTTCAAGAGAATCAAAGAGGTTACAGTCAAAAATAAACTGATCCTGGATAATTATTTTACTACTTCCTTATATGTACACAGATGTAAATATGTCATACCATCAAAGGTACAATACAGTATGGACACGGTGAGTCCAAGGGTTACAGTCTGTGACATTGGAGAAAATAACAATCACGCTAACAGAAATCTGAAGGGCAAAGTCCACCCGCCCACACAACCACCCGGAAGCTATTAATTGTTTAGTTCCTCTTACCTCAAGCTGCAACATGAAATCCAAAATATTCTCTGAAGACGTCTAATTATATGTAGGCCTAAAAAATATTAAGCACATACTGGCATATTGTTAACACAGCAAAAACTATAGATAAAACAACTTTTAAAAGCATGTTCCTCCTCAACATGTAATATACCAAAAGTTAGTTCCTCACACAGGAATTTCTGGTTTAAAAGTGGTTCAGACATTGGTGATAAAGAAATTAGACAACAAATCCATCAAAACTATAGAAGAGAGCATTTCTGCAAATTTCTGTAAACTTATTAAAATTTGTCATTTCAGTACAACAATAGAGTGAAAAGCACCAATGCATATGCATACACAGCTTCTCAGAAAAATCCGGTTGCAGATATAATCAAAAAGTCTTTCTGATTATTTTCTCCTTGGTTAGTTTGTTACAGTGTCGCTATCTGTGACTACGAGGTTGTCGTTTTTTCTGAGAGCTAGCAGTCTTTGTGCTTTCATGCTGTAGGCCCAGGCTCTGTCCACACCCAGGCCCTCAATCCTGCAGGGTTTCCAGTCAGGTAAGGGAAAACGTCCGGCTACAACTAAAGCATCATCAGGAAGCTCAGTTTGCAGCTTCTCCTGCAATAATGAAAGCTGCGAACACAAGAGCACAATCAAAAATTGACTGCAATACAAGAACAGTAATTTACTGAAACCTGCATCTGAATGCAATGAAGCTTCATCCACGTGCTGACAGATTAATCTTTGAATGTGTTTCTTATGCTATCATCTATAATCTTAAAACGACCATGGTGGTAAAGTTCCTTTCAGTCACCTGGACATTTGTTTCCACCATCAATGTGATTCAAATATTATTAAAGCCACTGCAGCAGTGCAATCTGACAGAAACAAAGGTTCCTGTTTTAAGACGAAGAAGGCATTTCTATAATATCTGCAGATGACCAACCACAACTCATCTCACCTGCTTTTCAATCAGGACACCTTCAATTTTTCTTTATCACTGCATTTTGCTTTGCTGTAGGCTACACTGAGATAACCTACTATTCTGGTTAGGCAACAGTTCATTGAGTTACTCACCACGCTAGGCGCCAAAAACACTGTGATATTCTTGCATTCTGTCAAGTCAACCTGTGATGAGACACAATGCAGGATGTAAACAGTTACCATTCATAAATATAATGATCACATTAGAAAAAACACAGAAACATGTCATGTGCCCTGGCTGTTCATATAGTTTTCATGTCATTCTTTGCTAATAAGGAAAACAAAACTTTAGATGGAGGACTGCTGATTGTGTCATTCTTGTTATCTTTCCTCTCAAACTATCATATTGTTGCAATAATACTGTACATTGTTGTGAAGACCACTTACAGTTATACAGTGAAATGTGTCATTCAGTGGTGGCTGGTGTAACATACAACCTTTCACAGGAATGTTAGTAATGCTGCAACTTAAGTGACAAATGTCAAACCTTCCAGAGATCTTCCCGCCGATATGATACATTTTCATGATGGCCTGCTCTCCATGCATGAAAGCGGGCGAGTCGAACAAGCCAAGGGTTGAGCTCATAACCAACAGCAGGAGTGAAACCCTGCCGATGGGCTTCCAAGACCTTAAGTTTTAAAAATGACGACAGTCAAAAACCCATGGTTCACCAGTGCAAGACAAAATGATCTCACATATCCTGTTTGTACTCACAATGCGACCGTCACCAGATCCCAAATCCACCAGGCCTCCCTTCCGACCTCTCACCAGTGTCATGACATTATCTACTTGTGCTTTGCTGGCTGGGATGTAGGGAACCTGGAGGCATTTTTGAATGTTTTACCAGGTACAATTGAAACAAGCACATTACATTACTCATCATTCAAAGTGTTAACCATACCTGCAGCCTCAGAGGGACTTTTCTAAAACCTGGCTGGACGATTCCCACCCACATTGCGTACACAGCCAGCCCAGTGCCAGCAGCTATCTGAGCAACACCCCATCCTCCGAGGGCTCTGGTCTTCAGCTCGGCAAGTAACTCTTCCGGTGCGTCATCATCCATTCCTATGTGAAACTTGTCGTGTAAGGTCTGAGTAAATGTAACGTCAGAGAAAATACTGACAATAAGGCAGGGCCAAATCCAGGAGCTTAAATCTGATTGGCCCCTGAAGTGCCCCTGTCTTGTCACTAGTCTTTAAAAAACTAGTCGCTTGCTAACAATACTATTAATAAATATGACAATTTGTTTATTTTCTTTTGTGAAGAACGGAATGTGGTTGAACAAGCAACATGTGCACAGATGTTGGACATGTTGGCCTCTGTGTAAATATTGACCTTCTGATATAACAAATCCTACATCCACCACTGCAATAAATATTATAATAGTATGATATTGTAAGCCAGTAAAAACACGGTAATAGGAAATGATTAACCTTGAAATACCAACCTACATCTATGCTCTCTCTATTTACAGCTTATATAAAGGCTCCTTCGACACTAATATGTAAATGTACAGTTTAATGTGATGCAATACACTTCAGAAAGGTTTTAACTCAGCTGTATGTTTATTATTAAGTCATTTTGATCTCGTTGGATCATGCTAGTTAATGATACCTCAGTGTTCTCTGCAGTAGATTGAGGGTCACACGCAGTTCTTATTAGGATCCAGTTACGATCTCTGATCAAGAACATAAACACTGACTCATCCCTTCATTACGATATTTTTAACAAACACAAACACACGTAATAACATTGTATTAACGTATTTAACAGTAGATACCTGCAGGAGTGCGGGCGGACACATTAGCCCATCGGACAGGTCCGTCTAGGAAACAGTCCGTGAATCCGACAGCCTGCTAACAACAGTTCCGGAGATGTGACGCTGAGAAGATTCCGGACTTCCTGCCTCATTCGTGGACAAACGTTTATTACTGTGTTGTCTCGTCCCTGTAATTAATATCATGCACGTCTTTATCGGTTTTATACAGAATATCACCCTGTTAGAAACAGTAACGCAGCACTTCACATGTGTCTACAGGTGAAAATAAATGATTATTCGAGAAGAATATGATATTATTTGAAATATTTTATTAGAAATTGAAAATATATGAACATGAAGAGAACACAGAAAGGTTTAACATTCTTGCTGGGAGACTGGTGACCACTGCACCACCATGATAGAAAACAATAACAAAATGAATTCCCAAAGAACAAAAACTAACTTGTACAGCGACCCTGTCAGTCACTGTCTGCATCATCACTTATGATCCCCTGCAGGTTGGCCCAGTCTGTTGCTCGTCTTTGCCCTTTGTGTGTTCTGTTTTCGTCATCACTATCAGAGGCAGAGTTCAGAGTGCGCTTATACGTGGAGGACAGATAGTCGGGTTCTTCCTGCCTCACTGAGGCTCCTCTGCGTTTTGGACGACCTGAGAGAAGTATCCACATTACTGGTTATCAATATTTTCAATATTTTTTTTGCATACGCAATAAAGTGATAAACAGTTCTAGTGATTAAGTCCCTTCACAACATATTGACCAGTGCCATTACTATAAGTGTTCTCTTTAGTGTTGTGCTATTAGATCACAGTATATTGTGTATGCAGCATGTGTGATACGTTTATGTTTCCTGTGAAAGGAACAGTTAATGTCTAAAGTTGTTAATTTTGACCAAGGAACAGTATAATAATGCAAAGTCTTATCTTAAAAGCCTATTTACGGTGCTAATAATGTTAGATCAACATTTTCAATAATCAACATTGATTAATGTGTAACAACAATAAAGAAATGTAATTTTCACAAATGCTGTTACTCGTCATGGTTAATCTGCATCCACTAATAATTTGCTCTGGTGTGTGTTTATCCAAAAAAAGATTTTTAGGTTGTGGCTTGTGATGGTCATTTCTTACTTTGGCCAGTGAATTATTGTAAGAAACTTTGCTTTGTTTCTTAGTTATACTAAAAGCAGTAGGCGGTAACAACCAAAGAAACAGACAAATAGTTACCTTGTGTGGCAATGATGTTGCTGACATCGAGCTCAGCTATTTCCTGAGCCTCCTCTCTCTTCTTTTTGACACTTTTACATTTTTTAATAGATGGCTGACCTGTGTGAAAACACATACACGTGTTATTGCTTCAGATTTTTTTGTTTGTTGTAAAAAAAACGAAAACTGTCAGTTGACTGTTTCTTCTGGAGTCATTTGTCAGTCTTTCATAAGTGCTACAAATCAAAAACATCTCACTGTATAGTATTTATACAGATGTGGGAAAAATGGGCAAAGTAAGAACAAACTCGGTGTCTGGTAAAAGCGACAGCCGTCTGGCAGGGTCGATTTTAGTGACGTTGTTTGAATGATCTGTGTAAATGTAGTTTGACACAAAAGTAGCAATGGCATGAATGTGTGGACTGGTGTAAGGGGAATTGATTTCTAATGACCTTCGACACCAAGATCTTCCAGCTCCTTCTTCAAAACAGCCACCATTGAGCGCACAGAGCGACAACCATCGAGGAGCTTCTTGTAATTCCGCTTCACGCCACAGAGAGAAATGTAGCGCTTGAGCCTCACAAGTTGTTTGTTGTCATCCTGCAGGTGTCAGACAGGTTGAACATTTTTTTAAACATAGTCTGCTGCTTTTCTGCCATTCATGTTGAACTTTGTGTCTCGGCTCCACTCAAGGCAAAGAGTCAACTACATGATTCAGTTTAGCATTTCTGCAAATTTCCTGATGTCCAACAGTGCATGACACCACACAATCCGACTGATTTACACTTCCTCATCATAAGGGTTTGGTAACGACATCTTAGGAATCACTGGCATTAAAAAAAAAAAAAAATACATGCATCAGTATACATTGGGCTCAGCATCCACCCACAAAAATCCATATCAATAGAGATCTAGTTACAATACTGCAGCATATGTTTTTGTATCTGCCTGTATTTAAATTAATTTAACTTTATTTAAGATCACATGACCACTGCAAGAATTATTAAAATTGAAACTACAAAAATACTGTGGAATAAAAGCCACAACAAGCAGCAAAGAAATCAAGTAAGTTACAAAAAAATGAATAGAAAAGCAACGTTTGGCATTTAAGATGAGGAGGACTGAATAACAACCGATTCGGATTGATCACATCACTCATGGACTCACCTTTTGAACGATGGTCTTTTCATCTTTTTTCACAGTTTTCTTCTTTTTCTTATCATCTTGATTTTTTTTCATCACAGGATTCTGGTCATCCTCCAAAGAGGTGAGAGACGATGAATCTGAGTCTGGGTTAGTTTCCTTTTTCACTGGGACTTTTTCTTCTGCACAGTAACACAAAGTCGTATCACAATAAAAAACCTCACAATACCATGAATTAATAAAAGATTTAAGTGTGGGATATGGAAGTATAAAGTTTACATTCTCACCTTTTTCACCATCATTTGAGGACTCGTTGATTTTGTCACTCCTCTCTGACTTTCTCTCTGTGTCGGTTTCATTCTCTTCACCACTCTGTGTTTTCTTTCCTGGACTGCTGCTGCTTCGCTTGTTCTTTGCAGAATTCTCTCTCTTTATCCCGGTGTGTTTTGGACCTTCACTATCTGACTCTCCCGACTCACTCACGTCCTCCACTGGTGAGTCCTCACTCTCCCTCCTACGTTTACGATTTCCACTTTTCTTTTGCTGTAATTTTTCAACCTCTTGCTCTGCATCCTCAGATCCAGATTTAATTTTTCCTTCCTCTGCACTCGCCTCACTTCCTGTTTTGTGGCCTTCGTTATCCTCAGATTCTGTCATTCATCACACAAAAGAAGATTAAATATTTCCTGGTTTATAAAGAAGCAACAAAACTCGATATAATCCAAACAATGTCAGAGTATTAAATTACTATCGAGTGATATTTTCCGAAATGACCCTAACCCTTCAATGAGTGAACCGCTGAGCTGTGACTGTAGCTATGGACAATTTACAACAACTAATGCTAAATAAGTAGGTTAAGAAAACCATATAAAGCAGCTGATCAGGGACCAGGTTGAAAAAGTACTCAGTGGGATATCTTCCATGACAAGTATAATATTGGTATAATTATGGGTTTGGGAAATGCCAACACATACTAGTACTGTGAACTGCACATGTTTACTGTTAATGAGGCTCCAGAATATTGTACATGCTATAGATCAGTAAAATGACAAATATGACCGAGTTACCTGACGATGAACTTATCTGACGACGGGATTTCTTTGCCATGGATTCATCTTCGTCTTCTATCCCACTCTCCTCATCACTTGTCTTTTCTCTCTTCCTTTTGTTGTGGGGCTTCTCGATTTCCAGCTCCAGCTCATTTTCTTCATTGTCCTAGATGAGGGAAAAGAAAAGAACAGGCTGAAAATGACCCCCCCAACATAAATAACCTTAGATAGGCCTATATAAATACACACAGAAACTGGGAGGAATTCAGATACCTGCATTTTCAACAGTTCCTCTTCAACCACCTGCTTCATGTAATTTCTGGCCTCTGGACTTAGTGATTCGAGTCCCACCAGCACCATATATCGTTTTTTTAAAATTCCTAAGGTCAGTGTGCTGCAATAAGACATTAGACAGATTTCATCAAGGTGAGCCTTTGTGAAACACATTACACTGAAAGAGTGAATGCATTTATTTTTACTTTGAGAACACTGAAAATGTACAGCCTCTGAAAGGGGATCACGTTACTCCGGTTTTACTTTAAAAGTGTTTTAATGGTGAAGCACTGTCATACATTTCTGATTGTCTGTCGGAGTTTGTTCCCGAACCGTTCCCTCAGGTCTTCTTGCTAAATATCCCAAAAATGAACCACACAAAGTTTGAGGATGCAGCTGCTAAACAACGCTGTTACTCACACTGCAGCGACTCAACACACACACACACACAC